GAACCTCCTGGAACTGCATCAACACCCCACTGACAGAAACGCAAACTTCACAACCAATGCAAAAGCAATCTCCCTTGATTCACACGGATCCACTGGTCCCCTGGTAACGTCCCTGACTTACAGATGGCAGCTGCCTGCAAATCACCCAGCCCTGCTCCAGCCTCCCATTCCCAGTCGGGAATCACACCCAGAGCACTGCAGGGGCAAAGGAGCAGCAAGTCAGACAGGCCCTCAGGTGTGATGCATCACACACAGGTGGGAGGTTGGGGGCTCCATTTAATCCTCCCCTCCAGCTGAGATGCTGAGCCCAAGACACAAGAAGGCAGCAATAACTAAGTATGAACACCTCAGATTAGATTTCAACCAGATTCTAATAGTCAGCAATTAGCTTATTCCTTGGAACATAGATGTTATTACTTTTATTTTCAAATATAATTAACAATGAGAATTCTCTATAGTCTTATTACCCATGTAGACATGCATTCCTGGCTTTTGAATTTTGTTTTCTTCATTGCAACCTGACAGCCAAGAGTTTCACTGTAGTCCTGGCCTCAGCAACCCATTTCTGAATCTGGAAATGTATAATGACAGCCACAAAACAACTTTTTTTCAATGCTCAGCTACTCTCCACCAACGAAGATGGAACTTTTTATTCCAAAAACTGTGAACGTCTGAGCTGCTATTCCCACCAGATTTCATTTAGCTCAAACTGCTTCCTCTCCTGGCAATATCAAACGCTATAGACAAGAAGATGAGAGCAAGCATGGAGTGATACTTCCCAGTGCACTCATCAGCATCTCACAGCTCAGAGAACTCCCAAGCAGAAGTATTATCTTCTTTAAAAGGAATCTCTGATGGATTTTTGTAGCATGTGGGACAAACACATGAGGAGAAAAAAGTCTAGAGCTGTCAGAGCCACAAATGCCATCCATCCTCTCAGCCAGCACATGCTCAGGGGTTTCTGCCTCTTGCTGCTCCCTGTCAGCTCTGTGATCACACTGCCCCAGGTAAACCATTCCTAACTGCTGCCAACCTCACGGGAACTGACCAGGCACAATTCTTCACACCCACTGGCCCAGCCGCTGAAGGTGATATATGTTACTTTAAATCAAGTGCCTACGAAAACCTGGTAGGATTCCCATGAAAACCAACAGGGTTCCCAGCAGGATCCTGCCTGCTTTTCCTTTCCTTCAAGCCTGTGAACAGCCCACTTGTAGCCACACTCCCAGAAAAACGGAGCAGCAGACAAAGGGCAGCCATGACTGGCCACAGCAATTTCATTAGGAAATATGTCTATGCCCAGCTTTAACAACAGTAAGATCCTTGGAGGCACAGAATTACAATAACCAAGGAAAAATATAAATAATGCATTTTGAAAAGCCGAAAACTAAAATGAAGGGGGGGAGGGGGGGAAGCAGACAGTCTCATCTAAAATGAAATTATTTTCAGCAAAGAGGGGGTACCTGCTAACCAGCTCATCTCCTTGGCATGACAGAACGGGCCCCTCCTGACTCCCCATGCTAAACACCTCTTTTCAGCAAGCACACTCTGCAGAAGGAGAGCTTGTCCTTAGGAAATTCAAGGGAATGGGGAGAATGTACTGAAACAAAACAAATCATTTGAAGACATCCATAGCAAAGTTTTCTGGCAATATCCATTTCATCATTGTACAACAGTCTCTGTGGGAAGTATTAAAGTCCTTAAAAGCATGAGAAACAAATTCATGCCAGAAAGAAATGAGAATAAACTCTAAAGAACATTCCTGCTCTGCTCTCCAAGGACAGCCACCTCTCAGCCCTTCCATGAGAAAAGGTACTGCTCCTTTTAATTGCCAGAAGGTCAATGGAGACAACCTCTCCAAAGGAAAAACATTTATTTGGTTATTACACAAATGCACTGGCTTCTCCCTGACTTTAATTTTGAGTTCAAAGTCCCATTGGAACAAAACCAAAAGGCACAAACCAAACATGAAAGCTCCGAGCTACCTTAAGTCCTCTCCCACTTGCCTTCATGTGTTACTTCCCACCTGTCTGGGGACACCTCAGGTGCCAGGAATCCTGCACACTCCTTTCCTTTTCTGATGTGGCCCAACACTCCCCACCTTCCTGCAAGCTGCGGCTGTGAAGAGGCCACAGCTCACTCCCAGAACAGCAGATGTTCCCTCACAGATCCCAACAAACACACACAACTGTTTCAACAGAACACCGAGATACAGGCAAAGGATTCCTTTCTCAAAAGCTCACCTGCCTGGCAATAATATTGTCAAAATCAGGGAGGCCAGTTCCACGCTAAGCTGTTTCACATGGGCCCTTTTCCTTACTCCCTCACTGCTCCTCACACTGCTATTACTGACCACTGGCCAAGGACTAGAAACTCTTCAGGTTGGCCATAAAGAGGAGGTGTAACCCCTAAATTGTAGTTTTCCAGTCTGAAACTTTTCCAGTTTTTGAAATTTATCAAAAACCACAACAAGGCTGAGAAATAAGCTGCAAAATATCATACATGAAACATCAGCATAACCCATTATGTTGGTGTCCCTTCAAAGGATACTTTGAAGATACTTTATTAATGAGTTAAAACTACTGTCCTCTCTAGCAGCACTTACATTACTCCATATGCCTACAATGTCATCGTGGTTTCCCTCTTGTAACAACCCCTTTATTTTAATCCATAAAGATAAATCTACAACAAATTAACAGAGCCTTACACCTATTTTAAGTGATGGGGGGGTTTTCCCCATTCCCTGTTCCTTCTGCTTTTGGCAATCAAAAATGGGCATTTGGCAACAGTGCCATCCAAGCCGCAAAGAGCAGCAGTTTTCCCTCTCTCAGCACCACAGGGCAGTTTGTGGGAAGCCCTACAACCAAAGATTAGAACAAGCAGCAGCAATGTTTGCCTTGAGCTGATATTTTGCCTGTCAGTCATGAATGTATTTTAAGATAAATCCTGATGCTAAATTAAGCACATGCATTGTAAATTTCCTGCAACATTTTTTTACTATAACACACTCAGAGACTTCTATCCTAACCAGTACTTACCTTTTTCCTTTTTGTAATGTTTTTTTGAGTGCCAGGAGTTCCTTCTTGTTTTTAAGACATAAGAGTTCTACACCACAGACTTTGTTACGTTTCAGTTCCTACAGTATTTCTGTAAAGGCATTATTGAATATCGTAACTGAAATAATTATACTTGGCAAATAAGCAACCTAAGTACACAGTGGAATGTGCTCTCTCTCCTTTCTTTTCCAACACTGCTCAGTTTTCCATTGGTTTGCAAATGTCAGTGGTCTGCTCTTCCATTACCATGAATGAGGAGTTTTTTGAGTACAAGTAACCAGGCTGAGGTGGTGCACATCCTTCCACCCTACACTAGCTAATTTAATTTCTTAACTGCTGCCCCTCTGCATTCATACACTCTGGGAACCACATGCAATGGCTCAGATCATTCTTATGAAAAGGGCACAAAGCATGGCTCAGCTCCTAAGACACTGCTCTGCAAGTATAAATCTCCCCAGTGATGAACTGGGAGCAGCAGTGTCTTTGTCCAGGGACAAGGAAACCTCTCTAACTCCAGCAGAGCGTGGTTTTCCCACATCTTTCTTTACATGACTTAAAAACTTACGAGGTGTACTCCATGTATCTTTGGGATTTGTTCCAAGTAAGTCAGATTTAATAATAAAGGATTCAGTTACAATCAGTAATCAATCATTTTAATAACAAGTTTTTAACAAGACTTGCCACAGTTATTAGTGTACTGCAGAAAGGATCTACAGTAGGAACTGAAACAACAATCCCGAGGGTGGATTATTTCAGCATATCAGGCAGCACCAACCCAGGATTTCCACCACACAGACAGTTTTTAACAGCTCGAAGACAGGTAGATGTTGCACAGTGATGACAGATCCTTTGGCTTCAGTCCTGAACACACACAACACACACACTGCTGGTCCCTGTTGTTTTACTGGGCTAACATGCTCACTGCTACCACTTAGAGAGCACAGATCCTACCCTGCACACAGGAGATGAGATGAAAACAAATCACACTTCCAAATCCTGGATTTTACTGGGCATTCATAAGAAACGAATTCATCACCAGAGTACTCTATAAACTTGTATGCAGCTGAAGCCAGGATACTTCCAATGTGTTTTTCATGAAACCTATTGTGCGAGTCTTGCCTTGTACTAACCAGCAGTGGTTTTAAATGCCGAAGTTGTAAATACGAAATATTAAAATGTTTCTGGCATCACACTTCTCAAAGAACTTGTTTAAGTTGTTTAAGTTACAAGAATTTGCAGCATCCTGTAAAAAATTGCTTTAAAATCTATTTCAAGGTGATTGCCATTCTCATAAAACACATCTTTTCCTAATATCCTGAAAAACACATTTGTTGATTTGAAAAATGTAAGTATCATAGCGACTTGGAAAGCAGATCAGATGAAGGCAAACATCACCACTAGCACCACAGAAACTGCTGAAATGTTTTCGTGTTTCACTGCTGGGGTGGTCTAAGCCTTGCACGGGCTCCATCAAACTGAACCAGCTCAGGTGTCCAAAGCACACGAAGGAACCCAGCTCACGTTTAATTTCACAGCACAAAACCTCACGTTTGGTGTTCGGGGTTTTTTTAAGGGTTTCTTTCTTTTTACTCGGCGCACTTAGGAGAATTCAGCGCGCTAAGGGCAAGGCGGCGAGCGAGGTCTCCGCGGGCCCCCCGCGCTCGGCACCGGGCGGGTCCCGCGGGACGCCGGAGCCTCTCCCGGGCCCGGCGCCGCGGGGAGCGGGATCAGCGGTGCCGGTGCCGGTGCCGGTGCCGGTGTCGGTGCCGGTGCCAGTGTCGGTGCCGGTGCCAGTGTCGGTGCCGGGCCCGCCGCGCTGTCCCGGCCCGCCGCGGGCACACGGCCCGAGCGGAGCGCGCCCCGCGGCCCCGCCAGCGCCGCACGGCCCGGCCGGGCCCGCCCCGCTCCCGCCGGCCGCGGCCCCGCTCCCGCCGCCCTACTCACCACCTCGGCCAGCTTCAGCCTGCCGAAGGTGCCCCGCAGGTAGTCCAGGTCGCAGCGCAGGCCGCCCAGCCCGCGGCGCTGGCTGACGGGCTCGGTGGTGGGCTGGTAGGGGCTGCTGGCCGCCGAGATCATGGAGGCGCTGGACGCCTCGCCGTCGAAGCCTTCCAGGTCATCGCCGTTCCTCATGGTGCCGGTGCCGCCGGGGGGTGGCCGCGGGCTCCGAGCCGAGCGCCGAGCTCAGCTATGGCAGCGAGGGCTGCATGGCCGCTCCGCGCCCGCCTCAGGCGCAGCGGTTCTGGGAGCGCCCGGGCAGCATCGCGCGGAGCGGAGAGGCGCGGAGCGGAGCGCTGCCCCGGCGCGGAGCGGAAAGGCGCGCAGGGTGCGCGGAGCGGAGCCGCGCTGCCCCGCTGCGGAGCCGTGCCCCGGCCGGGGGCGCGCAGCCCTGAGCGCCGCAGCCCGCCCCACCGCTCGGGGCGCGCTCCCGGCTCCGCTGTCCCGGTTCTGGTCCCGGTCCCAGTCCCGGTAGAGCTGCCCAGCTCCTAGCGGCGCCGCCGCAGCCGCTCCTCCCCCGGCGCGGAGCGGAAAGGGCGGGCAGGACCCGCCCCGGAGGGCGCGCAGCCGGGCGGTGCCTGCGCCGCGCCCGCCCCGCGCCGGGGGCCGCGCACCTGCCCCGGGCACCGCGCCCGGCCCAGCCCAGGCCAGCCCGGGCTGCCGCTGCCGCTGCTCTCGGCTTTCTGCAGCCGCTGCCGCTGCCGCTCGGCTCTCTGCAGCCGCTGCCGGCACCGAGGCGCTCACGGCCCCGGCTCGGCCCTCGCGGGGCTCCGGGCCCGGCTCACGGCCGAGCCCCGGCGCTGACACCGCGCCCGAACGGCTCCGGCCGCGGAATCCTCCGCACCTTCTTCCAGGAGTGTCTTTCGAAGCAGTGACGTTTTCCAAGGTAGCCTTGACTGGCTCTGAATCAGGTTTTGGGGGTACTTTTCCTTTTGCTATGTCACGACAAATAAGGACAAATTGCAACATAACCTGGCACATCCAGGTGAGTGTAATGCAGCTAAGCTATTTATTTTAACACAGCCGTACTGCTGTGTACCACGGCGAAGTTCAAGTGTTCCGTGCTGCATCCTGTCATCTGCCATGGTTATCAGCCAAGCTCTGATAGACCCGTGCTCCGGTTCTTGTCACTGATAGTCTACACTGTCACCTATTCCACGTTACAGGACTTTTAACACATTAACAATTCTAGTATCTTCCCCTGGCCTCCAAGAGTTTTACTGATACAGTTCTTATGTTTTCCATGAACACTGTGGATTGTCCACCTGGGGATTTCCTTTCCAGTTACCTGTGTGTTCTACTTCATGTCTCCCTTTCAGTTCCCTTGAAATTCCTTTGATCCTTCTTTTCATAGGTTCTGCCCTGTACACGTGATTTTTAATTGCAAGATATTTTTCTTCTTTCGTTTGGCTTCTGAATAAATATCTCCAAAGCAGGAGGGGCAAGGAGAGAGAACCAGGGAAAGAGGGACTGACTGTGTGAAGTCCTTCTGCAGCTTCTCTGCTACACCCTGTGTAGCAGGGTGAGGCTGATATTCTCAGGCAAGGTGAAGACTTGGGAGATGTGTAAAAGAAAGTCATTGCCCTTTGTGAAGGGTGAGCAGCAGGGGAAGAAAAAAAAGAGAAAACATGAGCAAAGCATGGAGAAAGAGGGTAAATCTTGCTTGGGTCATATGAACCTAGCCTAACAATAGGAAATCACATAAGGAGAAAATCCCACTGTGGCACAGGGCTGGACTAATGGGTGTTTACAGTCTATTATTTCAGTTCTTGTATAACTCTGGGGAAATCAGAACTCTCACAAAGGTCTTTTTCTTGCAGGAAGCATCACGAATATGTGGTTGTCATTTAGGAGAGTGTCTCTGGATTGTAACTGAAGGCTCCAGAGCTGTTTCAGGAACACAGGTTATGCACATTTACCTGCAGAGACATTTAACCTTGATTTTGAAGGACTGCTGTTGCAGTTCTGGAAAACTGTCCTGAGCAAAACAATAAAAACATTTCTGAAACATCCAGTGAGTATTATTTTGGTCAATCTTTTGCAATTCTAACCAAAACACATCAGTGTGTTGGAAGAGAATCTAAAGGTGTGATGAAGAAGGACAAAGGGGGAAGATGGTTGAGTGGTTTAACAAAAGGTGAGGTGGTTGGAGATTTTTATTCTGGCTGTTTGCTTAGTTTCTCCAGCATACCCTTCTGCAAACTTGTTAATAACTTCCTTCTCCCCTGGAGTGGAGGACATGGCGTGTAAATGTATTTAAATCATGAGAGCAGTGTGGGGTGCTGAGAGGTGTGGACACACCAAACTCCTCTGGTTCTGGGCAGCCAATTCCTGAGGTAGGGAGAGCACAGTGAGCGAGCTGCTCCAGCAGGGCGTTCTGGGGCAAGGGGAGGGCTGGTGCCAGCGTTTGCTGAGTGTCCCAGTGTTTGCTGAGCGTCCCAGCTGCTGAGTGTCCCAGCTCCTGAGTGAGTGTCCCAGCTCCTGCGTGAGTGTCCCAGCTCCTGAGTGTCCCAGCTCCTGAGTGTCCCAGCGTTTGCTGAGAGTCCCAGCGTTTGCTGAGTGTCCCAGCTCCTGAGTGTCCCAGCTCCTGAGTGTCCCAGCTCCTGAGTGTCCCAGCTCCCGGGGCACAGCCCTGCCAGGAGGGAGCACACCCAGCTCAGGCTGTGCTGGGATCCCTGGCTGCTCCTGCATGGGTGGGTGGGCTGGACTGACTTGGCAAGGCCTGCTGAGGTTGCTGCCAACAGTTAACAAAGGAATCCTTTACACACATTCTTGCCTGATACGGCACCTTTTCAGCTCTGCAGCACGGGAAGGAAAGTTTAATATCTAAATAGAAGTAGTGATCCAGGAGAAAGGTCACTGCATTCATCCCCGCGGATCAGATCGCTCTCAGATAACTTTGGCTTTGTGAGTTTCTAGCACAGCCTGCCATTCCATTGTGTGCCTGCTCAGGGGGACCAGGAAAATGGGGAACAAGGGCAGTGATCAGCACTCAGGACACCACCATAGTATTGAGCTAATCAGATCAGGGAATTAATCACTGAGTTCTTCACATGAGCTAAAATGCAACTGAAGAGTGAAAACAAGGAAGAAGCAGCACTGAGGGAAAAACCAAGTATGCTGTTCATAGACACTGTAATTAAATGATCTGTTTTACAGAACAGTTGGGTCAGCTTTGACAGAATTAAGAACTCCCCATCAGAAAGAATCTCCAGGACACTGGTCATAAATTAAAACCAGCTGGTGAGTTAGGTGTAAAAAGCAGCTGAAAGAGAATCTTAAATATTCTCAATGAACAAACTGAACACAGGGACCCTCATCTCTCAACTTTCATCTCAGCTGTTCCTACAACCTCTCATAAACTTGTGAACCAATTGTGGTTTATTTTCATTAAGCACATTTAAGTGCTATTTCCAAGATTAAAACTGTGACTCTATTCCAGCAGAATAGGAATATCAATTTAAAGCCAGGCTTTTAAAGCGCATTTATGTAGCTTAAACACACTTAAAAGTATTTTAATGCTTAAACATAAAACTTTGTAGATCTGAATGGTGCTTATTAGGAATGGTGCTTTAATGCATTGAGAGTGTAAAAGGCATTAGAATAGTAACAGGAAAGTTACATCTGTGCAAGTACCTGAAAAGAGCTGAGAGGTTCTTTAAGAAAAGACTCCGGTATTTCCATGTGATCCACCAAAGGGAAGGAACACTGGTATGCGGCCAAATTCCAAGAGAGCTGAGCAGTGATTAGAGTTTAACTTTGGCATCAGACAGGAGGCTTTTTTTCTCCTTGAAATTCTCGATGTAAGAAGTGCTGAAGCTTTTTCTCAGCTTTTCAGCTGGGGGAAAAGAAAAAAGCCAAGCCCCACCCTCAAAAGCTAATAAAGAACTTGCTTTAGGAAAACATCGGGTAGTTTTGAATGCCTGAGTGCATTTTCCCAGTGTGGGAGTGTGGTGTGCACACTCCTTCTGAAGCCGTGAGCAGCATGGGAGGTGGGCAAATAATTTTGCCGAGTCAGAAGTACGAATTAATACAAGAAGAAGAAACTGCAAATTCTGGCACAGATTTTAAGCAGAAGGAAAATTGTCTGGGATGGTGGGGAGGTGTGAGGTCAGTTCTCTGTAATGCTGCTGAACAATCCCATGTGTGACAATCCCCTGTCACCACATCCTGCCACAGCTGGGCACTGCAGCCTCCCAGCAGGACACCACCAGGAAAGGCACTTCAGCAACAGCGAGGAGACCTGGATCTCATAGCTGGGAGTCAAAAACCAGCCCTGCCAGCTGAGGAAAGTCCAGAGAGAACAGAAAGAAGCTGAGGTGAAGGGCAGCTCTGAGAGCTTCTTGCAAGTTCCGCTGGCTGGGAGAACCATGCCCATTTGGCCAGGATCTCTTGGGCACACACCACAGCACAGTGAGGGACTCCTGGGCTTTTCATCTGGTTAAAAAAGTGCAGCTTCAGTAGCCAAAAGTGATAGTGAGTTCTACTCCTCTCCTCACCTACAACGTTGGCCCCTGCAGACTTTCTCCACCTGGATTCCAGCCCTGAGACCTTGGAAAACAAACAGAGCAGCCCTGAAGCCCCCGAGGCTTCAGCCTCTGGTGACAGTCCCCAGCCCCAGGGTGCCACCAGCTCTCCCAGCTGGGACCAGGGGCAGCAGCTGCTCAAGTCCCCACAGGACCCTGCTGAGGAGCTGTACAGGACTAAGGGCACAGGTAAAAGTGTCACTGCTGAAACTTCACCATCACTATCAGGAAATTATTTCCCTTTCAAAAACAAAACCAAAAAGAAAAAAAATCCTCCGTCCCCACCTCTCACCCCCCCAGAAACAAAACCAATACAGGCAATGCTGCCAAACAGATCAGTCAGACCCTTACCTTGCACACATGAACACGACTTCATGTGCTATTAACAATGAGCCATTCAGAGAACTTTTTTTTTTTTTTTTTAACTCCAGGATTAGGGACTGACATCTCAGTCTGTATCATCTACTGGGCCAGTTTGGTAGTGAATGAAGAAGTCACTGGCTCCTTTCACCTCCAAAAACTTCTAAGGGCATCTGCAAGTGCCAGAGAGGGGTTACTGTGCAGCCACAGCTGGGCTAAAAGGCAGCAGACATTCTACAGAGCAGAAGGTGAAATTAATTTCTATAAAAAAAGAGAAGCAAAATGCCAGATTCTTAAGAAAAGTGCCAGCAGACCTTTAATGGTGCTGGGAACCAGCCAAGACTGTGAGTTACATTTCTTTTGAAAGAATTCTGTATAATGAAGCACACTGAAAAAATATGCAGAGAGACTGACAGCAGTGTTTATTTTATTCATGGCACTACATTTATCTAGGGAACCGAGGGGAAAAAAAGCCCTGCACTGGGAAAGAAGGCAGTGGTCTTCCAATAACACCATAAAATCATACAGACCTAGAGCAGAAGGCCAGAAAACTCTTGTTGTCTCTGCATGGACACGGGGATGCTGCCACTGCAAAAGCAGAAGTTTTATAGCAAGTGATGGAGCACGCAGGGTACAGCAGACCTTGGAGGGAAAGAGCTGGGGTTTATTTTTTGAGGAAGTGGGAAGCTGAAGGGAAGGATGAAAAAATTGTATAAACCATGTTTTATAAGAAAAGTTTTAAAGGCCCCTTAGCAGGCTTTAAAAAAAGATGAAGTACACTCACTACATTCTTTCTTTCCACAGATGGAACAGGCCAGCGAAAACAACTGACCTCAACTGCTTGAATCCTGTGTGTGTTGTTATGCAACACCCCAGCCAGTCCCCTGCACTTCTCCTGGGGAACTGCACATGGTAGAGAAGTTCATTCTTTAATTACCCTCCTGAATTTGTTTTACTTACAGCTAACCTGCAGCTGATTGCTAACATCAGCAACTGCAACAGCAGTTCAAAGAATATTCCCTTGTGCAACAGCACCTAATTTCTCCATATGATAGAACTCTGTATTCAGTTCATCTAGCTCGTTCCCTCACAGAGTATTTCTTTGGTTACATGGGTCTTCTACATGGAAGGGAAAGTTTTGGCTTTTTTGCCTTTTTTCAACAGGAAAAACAATTTCAAATCTTCCATCACTGGCTATAAACCCAAGGTAGGCATATGGCCCCAGCTCTCCACAGCCATACACAGAGGAACTAATAAATCCCGATGCCTTGCAGGCTTTCTTCTCTTCCCAGGGTCCCCTTGCACAGGGAGCACTTTAGCTCCCATTTCTGTCCTCCAACTACTGCTAGAGCAGAAGGAAGCCAGTGCTGCGCCAGGTTCTGTGTCTGCAGACCACAGATCTTTGTTTGGCTGGGCTCGCCTAGGAGCCAGCCAAACTTCCTTGGCAATCCCTGCCTAAAGCAGAGGAAATCTTTGGATTTATCGTCTCCACCAAGCCCTTAATTTTCATGCAACTGGGATTAAGTCAGCTGTCTGCGAGAGCTTTCATTTCACTGAAACTGGCCAAAGATTTAAGTTATTTTTGAAGATGGGGTAGAACGGGACAGAGCACAAATGCAAAAGCAGTGGACACCATGCTAAAAATATATTAAATATGACAGCATTCTCTTAATAGTTGGGTTGTACTTCTGTTCAGCTGAAAGGTGACTTGTGAGAAATTTTGACAGGGTTTTGCGGTTTTAATGTTTCAGATCCTGACAGTTTCTCAGCATTGCAAGATACTGGTCAAAACATCCTGATTTAGCCAGTTAAGCACAGCTAATTATAGTCACCTGCTGACAATCCAGTGTTGTCCTGGGGCATGTGTGCTCTTCCCAGGAAAACAAACCTGGGAGTAACAATTCAGGTTCACAGCATAAACAAATGCCAGCATTAATTCAGTAGCCCCCATCTCCTGCACAGATCAAAGGCTGATATTCCATTGCTTGTTTCCAACCCAGCCCATCACCACAGGAGCTCCCAACTCTTACCAAAGCTTGAGCCAATCTGTGGAGGTCGGGCTCCATCACTGACCTCCACAACTCAGTGAGAAAGAGGCACTTGTGGGTTTGGTTAGAAGTGCCC